CGGGATAGAGTCTCATTCAACGAATGAGTGAAAAAATTATGATTTTCTGAGGAAAATGACAAGGGCAGCCAGCACCCCACATCCCTCTGAAACAGGAAGCCGAGGGCCCAAGAGCTCCCCAAGAGTCACAAACACCTCCCAGGGGATGACCAGCCCCGAGGTCAGCAGATAGCCAGGCTTAAGCAAAGCACCCACACACACACACACACACACACACAGAGGTGCCCCTGAGAGCAGGGAATGCAGGTGGATGGAAAGGAAGAGCCAGAATTCCCCTGAAGCAAGAGGGGAGCTCTTTGCAGGGGCGGAGGACGTGGCTCACCTAGAACCCAGGAAGAAGATTGGGGGGTCTGGGGGGGAGGTGGCCATGCTACAGCTCTGGCCAGCCCCAAAGGCTGCAACAGGGGACCCGGAGGGAAAGCCAGGGCCAAGTGGCTCCCCCACCCCGCCACTCCCTGCTGGAACCAGGATGGAGAGAGACAAGGATGGAGCGCCGGGTGGGGAGAAGCCTCTGGGAAGAACAGAAGCGATGCGCCAGCAATCCCTCCGGTCCCAGCGGCCTTTCAAGCTGGAAGGACAGTTGATTGGTACCGTGTGTCCTGGCGGCGGATGGGAAGAAGCCAGGACAGATGACGGTAAAGGCAACTCAGGAGGAGGAGAAGGAGGAGGAGGAGGAGGAGGAGGAGAAGGAGGAGGAGGAAGGGGGGCTGAACCACCCTTAGGATACCTCCAAAGCAGATCCCCTGTGCCCCCTCCCCCAGTGGGAGGGACCCCTCAACTAACTCCCCACGGACAGAGGGTGGGAAGGGTGAGGCTGGACAGGGCCTGGATGGGGAAAGGGTGGGGCTTTAAGGAGAGTCAGACTCACTGCAGTCTCCTTCACACTTTTCCGCTTTTTGCTTTTTTAAATCCACTGTTTTCAATTTCAAAAATAAAATAAAATGCAGAATAAGAAAAAGGGAAAAATTCAGGGGGAGGCAATCAAAAGTGGGGTGGGGGGAATCAAAAACTGACCAGAAAGGACTGACCCACAACTGTCTTCGGTACAAGTGGGATTATATAGTAACCTTTTGCTCTTAAGTTAAAACAAAAACATTGTCTAAAAAGTGTATGGATTAAGCAATCTAAATAACATCAAATTGCAACAACAAAGCATAAAAACACAGCATGTCTAACAACAAAAATAACAATGCACAATATTTCCGTAACAATAACCCACCTAATCGGCAAATCCTAAAATCAAATTTCCATGTTAATCTTTCTCAAGCAAGGAGTCCGAAAGGGGCCTGCAAATAGAAATGCAACTAAATTGGCTTCCGTGAGACCTAAAAGAGAAGCTTCTGCTTTCACTTTGATATCCACTTTGAATCTTTCCTGAATCAAACAACTTATCTGAGCCAAACATTTCTTGCCAGTCTTACGTGTCCATCAAAGATGATAAAAGATACCTTCACACTGATAATATTTCCAACACTTGTTTGGATATTCCCTTATACACCCTTTGACCATTTCTTAGGAGTTGAACAATACATCATTTTATTTAAAAAATATTTTGAAGCATGGTTCAATGAAAATTTGAATCCACTCAATCCAAATATTCTTCCATTAATCGAGCATGAAATTATATCCAAAACCTTTTGCCCATTTCATAGCACCCTCTTTAATTCATCCTCTGGGTTCATTTTCAATGATTTATATGCCTTGGCGATAAGATGCTCGTCATTAGAACATAAATCCCTCTCAAAGTCTGTTTTTTTCATCTTGAACAATTTTTTTATCCAGTTTAAATCTTACGCAATAATATTATATATAATATTGCCAATTGCACATAAGCAAACTATTCATAAATACAACCCTCCTTTCCCACCTCTTAATTTGGGTTTAATTAAGATCAATAAATCAGCGTAAGTAACCAAGTTTGTGTAAGTATCACTTGTCTTCTAAAACAGGTGAGAGAGAAATGATAGGAATCAAACTTGCTTTCTCTCTCTTCCAAACTCCTCCCACTGGCACATCTGTCAAAGGGATTTTTTTTCCCCTTTAGATTATCCTGAAGTCTGGAATGCCCAAATCTCAACAGCTGCCCCTCTTCTACTTCTGGGAGCCTCCCGTTTCCTAAAGTCAAAGGTCCCAAACTACATTCCTCAAGTACAATTTTAGGCCAGGTATTTTTTCTCTTTTTTTCACATCCTGCAACAATTTACCGTATTTAATTTTTGATTTCTTACCTTGCCATACCAATCCAGAAATATCTTTCTGCCATGGTTTAAAAGAAAAATGAATTCTCAATACTGATATAGTTTGGAACAATTTTCTGCTTTCCCTTCAAGATGGGAGCTCAGCTGCCCATTTTTGTCTTCCCCAAACCAAACTTCATTGATTAAAATTACACCTTGCCTGTCTTAGAGTGGTCGTTTTGTGGTGCCGTTAGATGTGCCATCAGTTGACCAGCTGTGCTTTATTAATGAGCAAGGCGAACATCTTGCCTTGCAACCTGCCTGGCACCCCGAGCAGCCCCCAGCTCCGCCCCAGCATTGCAATTCTCCTCCGTTCCCTCCCAGGCTTCAGGTTTTGTTTGTGACACGGCTGTTACTGTCATAAACGGCACGTCTATTCCAGTTATTCTGTGCCCGCTAGATCCGTCAATGTGTCTTTAGTGATGGACTATCCAGGAGCCTGAATTTCCTTACGCAAACCGCCCTCAAGACAGGCGACTTCAGTCCCCATTAAAATGCAAAGGGACCAAGAGAAAAATGAATGCAACGCAGCCCTCAGGTGAGGGACCTGATCTCTGGCACCTGTCAGCAGGGAGGCAGGCAGGCAGGCAGGCAGGCAGGGTGTGTGTGTGTGTGTGTGTGTGTGTGTGTGTTACACCTTTGAGTCAGTGCAGACTCCTGGAGCAGCCTCTGCAGTTTTCTTGGTAAGGTTTCGGAAGTGACTTCCCATTGCCTGAGAATAACGGAGTTTGAAGAGACCGTGGAGGTCTCCTAGTCCAGTGTTTTTCAACCTTTTTTGTGCAAAGGCACACTTTTTTCATGAAAAAAATCACGAGGCACACC